TGCTGGCACTGGCCTACCTCGTTGTGGGGCCTTAGGTTTTCCTATGGGCTTCCTGCAGAACAGTGTTTCCCACATCCTGCTTCCAAGCTCTTTCACTATTCTCATTTGATTAATTGCATTCCTTGTAGAACCTGGGTTTTGCCAAGATTTTATTCCTCAAAATGGATCAGAAAACAATACGATGGTTTTATTTGATTAATGAAAACATCTATTAAGCCTTAAAAGAGACAGACAACACAAAGACACAGGCACATCACCTGGCTGAGGGAGGCCACCTACATGAGGTTAACGGTGTCAATACGACGATGTTTGTGGTCGATGTAAGTATATGAATTTTTGTGGAAAGCAGCATTCCCTTATCCTGGCTTCTCCAGAGAACGCCTCTATCGAGCCCTGTGCTTCTGCTTGTAATTTATAACTTCCAACCGCATTTTCCATCACTTGTCAGTTTGTTGTACTGTGGTGACGTGTGTGGCTGTGATGCTGGAAGCTATGTCACTGGTATTTCCAGTGCCTGCAGGGTCACCCAGTGAGCACATCAAAGTAGCTTCAAGACCAAGAACAGTCAATGAAGAAGGAAATCTCCAATCTGGAGGAAATACCCGCCGAAACCTTAGGCATCGCTTGAAAACATCGTCAGGTACTAAAGGCCTAATGAACAGAACACTGTCTAACAGGGTGCCCGAGGATGGGTCTGAGGGCACTTGAACTGATTTCTTGAGAGATGCTATGAGCTGGGATGGGTAAAGTCCATGGGACTGGAGCCTTCCGGTTCTTCATTTGCTCCTGAGGCAAATTTCAAGGTTAAGGAGAAGTAAAGTCAAAAAACCTGCTAATGATTGGTACTTGGGATGTGTAAGATATGAATCCAGGAAAATTGGAGGTCATCAAAAATGCTGCAAGACCCTAGAACAGGTGAGCTGAGCCGGAGTTGGCCATCTGAAACAGGAAATAGGATTTACTAAGCCAGGAATGGTACTGCGTTCATAATCCGAAAGTCCAAGATCGATTTTGAAGTATAATGCTGTCTGCAATAGGATACGTATCCACATTCAAAGAAAGCCAATCAATCCAACTTTTATTCAAATGTATACACTAGCCACAAAAGCTAGTGATGAACAAACGAAAGAATTCTACCAACATCTTCAGTTGAAATTGGTCAGACATGCAATCAAGATACACTGATAGTTATTGGTGCTTGGAACGCAAAAGTTGAAAACAAAAAGGAACAGTAGGAAAATAGGGTCTTGGTGAGAGGAATGAAGCTGGACTTTTTCAAGAGCAATGAATGATCCCTGTTTTCAATAGTACAAACGGCGCCTGTACTCAAGCACTTCTCCAGATGGGATATGCCGAAACCAAGCTGATTACATCTGAGGGAAGAGACGATGGAGCAGTTCCTGAATATCAGCAGTTAAAAACAGGCCAGGGGCAGACGAGCAGGCCATCAATTGCTCACATATAAGTTCAGGTTAAGGCTAACGAAAATGAAAAACGAGTGCATGAGAGTGACAATATGACTGAGTCTATCCCACCTTATTTTCAAGAACAGACTGGCTGCGTTGAACACTGATGAGAGAAGACCCGATGAGCCGTGCTGTGGGAGCACATCAAGAACCTCCCGCAGGAAAAAAGGACAAAAGGTCGTTAAAACGAGGAGATAAATAAAAATAGCCAACTGGATGTCGGAGGAGACTGAAACTTGCTCTTGAATCGTAGAGTAGCTAAAGCTAATGGAAGAAATGACGTCGAGAGCTAAACAGAACATTTCAAAGGGCAGCCTGAGAAGACAAAATATAATGGAATGTGCAGACCTAGAACTAGAAAACGCAAAGGGAAGAAGATGCTCAGTAGATCTTTACAAATGTTAATCTACTTTGTGTTTACTGGCAATAGAGCCACTCGGCTCCTTTAGCTCCTTCCCGCTGTCACCTCAAAGGGCGGATTGATACTTCTCTAGTCCACGTGTTCTTCCCATGTCATCGTGCCCCAACACCATTTTCCCATGCCATTTCAAGAGATCTTTTCTTGTGAAACTTTGACCTTTTTACTTCCTTTCACCTTGTGTCTTGCAATGATGAATTCCTTTAACTTCTAGGGGTCTAGAAATACACTAATTTCTCCTTCATTCCCGAATGAGCCGTGTGACCAGCTTTAGGATGTGGATGCTTGAAAGTTCTTTCAGCTCTTTCAGTACGCCTCCCCTTCTGGCCCCCATGTTAATGAGAAATTGGCACTGCCTTTCCGAGTATCCTATGAAAGTGACAATTCACTCTTTCCGGTTGAAGACTCATTGATTCTCATTAGTGTCACTAGAGTGTGTCTCGGGGTGTCTCTCTTTGGGTTTGTCCTGTTTGGTTCTGTGATGGCATCCCCACAATTTCAGATTTTCCTCAGTCTTGTCTGTTTTCCTCCTGTTGCTTTTCAGACCAGTACTTTGATTGCCTTATTCAGTTGGCTACTTGATTCAGTTCACATGTGGTCCAGGCCCTGCCCTGGCTCCTCTTGGAGGATTAGACCCTCAGTTCTGTGGGGGCAGAAGCTGCTCTAAGAACACAGGCCTGCCTTCGCCGGCTCAGTCCCGCTTGGGGAACGGGGTGGGGTGGGGGCGGGCAGCAGAGTTGCCTGGAACACCTACCTGCCCGCCTGGGGCAGGCCAACAAGCACACACACACACACCCACAGGCATAAGTGCCTGATCATGCTCCAGAATTCCAAAACAGATGGTTCCAAATTTATTTTCCAGGTCACCTGATGTTCTTGCCAAAGGATCAACCTCTAAAGAGCTCTGCTCCAATATTCTGCTTGCACGATGCCACTAGCATTTGTTGGAGCATCTTACAGGGACAAACTCTTACATACAAGCACACTTACTCTGCACTCCTCCTCTGCTAGGAGGATACATTCGAGACTGTTTTCTTAACTTTTTTCCCCCTCCATGGCTTTTGATGAAAAACATGTGCTCAAATTGTTCGTGCACCCTATGTCGTGAGTCATTTTCCTTTGGCTACATTTATGATTTTTGTCTTTGATTTTCAGTAATTTATGACGTGGCTACATTTTGAATTTATTCTGTTTGGGTTTCACTAAGCTTCATGAACCTTTAAATCGATGTCTTTCACTAAATTCGTAGTTTTAAACCATTATATAAAACTTTTCTTCAAATGAATATATTTTTTTCCTTTGGGAATTCAGATACAAATATTAGACCTTTAATATTGTCCACAAAACTGTTCATATTCCTAAGTTTTTGTTGTCCAAATTGGATCCCTTTTTAAAAATATATACTTTGATCTTTTCTTGCCTTTTTTTTTTAATCGTAAATTAGATCATTCTTATGTTCCAGCTAGCTCCTTTTATGCTATGTTATGACATTTTGTTCAAGAGCATTTACCCTTGCAGGTAGTGCCCAAGTGGGCTTGCAGAACGGGGATGGTTGCTGCCTGGGGCGGGGCATGTGACCCCGTGAGTCACATCTTCTCCTCATAATTGCCTTCTATT